ACCCGCCTTCTCGTCGTCATCTTCCCTCCTCGCTTTGTTACTTCCTCCTTCCTCCACGTTTGTACCAAATTGATTAAGGCCAACAGGCGCGCCTGAAACCGGGTCGACGTCCATAGCCACCGAATCCTCGGAGATCACAGGGAGATGAGTTTGCTGATCGAGAAGTTCGAAACCTGGACAGCCTTAAAAGTTTCTCCCAAGTCCTCCTCATCTTTGGTCACCCTCTCCAGTTCCTCCTCGACAGTTGTGGCCTTCGCCTTGAGCTGTTTGAGCATCTCCTTGTTAGCAATGCACTCCTGGAGATCGCACTCGACCATGCCCTCGATCACCTCCATGAACTTCCAAGACATATCCTTCCGGATCTCACGGCTCGCTATGCGGACATCACTCTCGCGCTCGCGGATCAGACGGAGATTCTCCTCCTGATAGACCGCAGCCTCGCGTTGAGCCCACACCGCTTCAGCTTGGGCCTCGAAGATCTGGTTGGTGGCAACCTTGAATTTCTCACCCTTGTCAGCCAGCTCGATCTCGAGGTCGGTGATGTGAGCTTGCTGGTCCTTGTACTGCTTAACGAGTCTAGTCTGGCGAGCGATCTGCGCATTCGCGGCCTCAAGGTTGGACTTCAGCTTGCTGACTACCTCCCCATTTCCTTGATCTCGTCCAGATGTGGAACGTCTCGCAGCCTTTGCACCAGTCGAGCATAGAGCCGGTTCCCAGCCTCCGCCGCCTGCGATCAAGAACCAAAGCGTTAATGCAAGTGACACTTAACCAAATTTACACAAAGAAAAAGTTACTCCCGTACCTTCCCCTGGACCGCCGCCATCTCCACTTAGAGCTCCCTCTCAGTCATTTTCTTGAGAGCTGGAAGTTGGCACCCAGCGGGCTTGAAATGACGCCACATGGCCGCCATGCCCTCGGAGTCATCCGTGATAGGATGATCCTTGGTGTGCTAAAATTTCCAGTGGAAGGGCCGACTACCCGTCAAGCCACCACTCCCGTTAGACGCCGACAGGCGCAGCTTAGCAGCACGACTTCCCCCGTCGTCTCTCGGCCTCTTGGACGCAGGCTGGGAAGCGTGCTCAGGCTCCTGGTCATCAGTGGGCTGCTGGGTTTTGCCTGAGCTCACAGAGATCGCTCCCAGCGATTTGTGAGGGGGGTCGAGCCGAGGATCCATCATCTGCTCAACCTCCTCGTCGCGGAGTTGAGGTGTAGAACCAGCAGCTGAGGCGAGCGTGGCCTCGAGGGCCTCCTTGACGCTCCCGGAGCGAACTCTGGAGCTGCTGGGGCCGGCCGCGGCTTTCCCAGCTCTTTAACGAAACATTGGCTTGCGAGACATAGCTGAACTTGAACTTGCTAAACTACAAGAAGGTAAAATAGAGCGGAGAGGAGCTGCCAGCAAAACAAGCCATAGCATGCCATTCAGCGAACAAAAATTGTTACACTAACCCATCAAAAATAAGGAACCAAGAGACCTCCCGAGTGCGACAATCGGAGCCGGGGCTGGCGATGAGAGAACTCGTCGAACTCGTTCTCGCGTGAACGTGCTCCAGACAACCTCTTCTCGCCTGAACAACTCTAACCGGTGCTCGATATCGGGATCCTTGGGTGCTCTGGACAGCTGACCTCGCTTGAGCAAATCAAAGCGAACATAGCTAACGGACACCCGAGCCTAGCTAAACAACCGTTGCCTGCGAACTCGATTGGCAGCCGGGAGAAATCGAAACTCCCTACGGATGCCTCGTTAACCCGGAATTTAAACCCGGTCTTCTCCCAACCGGAGCCCTTCTCCGGACTCTCCTCAATGAACCGCCGGTTCGACCTCGGGGACACATAGAAAGTTCTAGGGCGGCGGGCGTTGTACTTGACGGAGAAAAACGCTCTCAAATCCGAGTAGCGAAAGATAACGTTCTCCTCCCTGGCCCGCACGGCAAATCCGATGATGCCCCAAACCAAGTTTGGACACATCTGCGGGAAAGCCAACCGCAGGTCCGCCAACACCTCGAGGACGAACCGAGGGATTGGGAAGAACAGCCTGCAATCCCGGAAGTACGTTGTATACGTGCAACAAAAGCCCAGCTCCACGCTCGCTGGAGTCTCCGCTGGCGTCAGGATCGCCAACTCCACCACGTCGGGGATTTTGCATTCTCGACGGAAGTCGTCGAGAGCTTTCTGGTCAATCTTGGAAGGACTTACGATGGTCCTCCCGGATTTGTCCCCCTCAATTTTTACTACTACCGACATCGGAAAAGAAGAGAGGAAGAAAGTAACAAACGCTAAACCCAGAAAACTCAAAGACGAAGGTCGGAGCTTTTCTAAATAAAAAAAAATCGGCAAACAGTTTCTGAAAACTATGGAAAACGGAAGTTGCAGAAAATAAAAGGAAAAAAAGAGAGGATGTTACCTTTAATCGATGAACTGATGCGGTTAAAGAAGGAGTGGAGAAGGTGGACTTTATATCGAGGTAATTATTATCAACCTCGAAGATTGCAGAGAATCTGGCCACGCGCCAATCTCAACCGTTCGATCCTCCTGTCTCAACCGTCGAATATTCGACTCCGACGATTTGACGCGCTGCGCAGCTCGATCGATCGAGGCCGTTAGATAAACCTATTCTCTCTCCATCTGGACCTTCCACGTCACCGAATCTCAGCACGAATCTCTTCGAGAGATGCACCTTAACTCGGGAAGCTCGACCGCCGAAACAGAAAAGTAAATGATAATACTTACTCCGAATCTAGACCGTCCAGCTGGACGAGTTAATGATATTCTTACCTCAACACGCCAAGTCGCAGTCTCGAGGTCGAATCTCGACCACACGATCGATGAACTGTTCGGCTTTCCAAGATCCGAACCGTCGATCTCGAATGATTATATGACTTCATGACGTCAGCGTAATCAAGCACAAAATCTTTCAAAAGTCCCATCTTGCCGCCCATTAAAGCTCGAGCTCGCTCTCGTTAATGGGCTGGGGGCAATTGTTGGAGCTGGATTTGGCACCCCAAATCCGGCCCACTCAAGCCCAACGGGCAGGTCCAAACTAAGCCAAAAAGGCTGGGCTTCAACCTTACGGCCCAGACCCATTCATCTTTCAACAATCTGATCCTAAGAAACGAGATGCTCCGTTCGACGAGATCGAGTCCTAGCTCGACCAAATCCCGAGAAATGAGGAGTAATCCGAGCCAAGTCAGAGCATATTCTCGCCAGTTCAAACGAGTCCAAAGATCGCGGAGGAAGTTGCTGCACGTGGCGAGATACCCGGCTGAGGCTGCTGCACGTGGCCGAGATACGCGCTGAAGCTCGAAGCTCGACGAGGCAAGCTATATAAAGGAGGAGAACGGCTTAGTTCAAGGACCCCACGACTTGATCTTTTTACACACTTTTTTACACCCGAAAACACTGTAACCGCTTCCAGAGCTCTTTTCAGTTCATCTTTTCCATCGAGATCTTTGTAACCGTTTCATTCGACCGATTAATATCAAGTCCTTATTTCAGTTAGTGCTAGTTTATACAGTCAATCTGTTTGCCGGAATCTAGCCCTCAATTCTCCTAAGTTCTTTCCTTACAAATACACATAAATTTCTGAGTGTGGATTTCAGTTTCTACACGTGAGGAATGAAATTATGTTTTAACGACAATTAGATGGCATATAAAGTTGGTCTTGAAATTTTGGGATTTTGAGATAAATAAAAAAATGAGAGCCGTTATTATATATTATAAAATTTTAATTAAAAAATCTAATATGAAAAATGCTAAACAAAATTCAATTTTCTAAAAAAAAAAACTTAATGAATTGGGCTAATAGATTTTTTTTATTGGATTCATATTAAAAAACCATAAAATACTAGTAATTTTATGAGTATGACTGGTATGTCAGATAAATAACAAAATATCAGAATAACTGAAAAATTGTTAGTGGAACAAATCAAACTGAATAATATTTTGGCTGAATAATTGTTAAATTTTGAAAAGCTAATTATAGTAGATGAACCATGTTTTGTTTTTTTTTCTAATTATATTTTTAAGACGCTAGCGGAATCACGTTTCAAAAACATAAAAAAGGTGAAAATGGGATAACTAATATCAATGGTAAAAATTAATAAAATCAAGTTTACAAAATAATAAAAACATGAAAAAACTGCATACTATTCAAGTGCCAGTCATATAGCGCATATAAGAAAAAATGTAAGTAAAGAAATAATTAATATGATATATTTTTGTAATAGATTTTTGGTAGAAAATATAATTAAAGAAATAATTAATATGATATATTTTGGTAATAAATTAAAAAAAATATATCTTAAAAAATTAAATGCTGATTTACAAAATGAAACATAACATATGTATGGACCTAAAATATATAATGACATATTATGCAATGAATCTAGTAATATAAGTCTTTTTAAAACAATTAGCTGAAAATGAATGTGAGATTGACACATCAGCATAATGGCACAACTGTAAATATTTATAAAAATGAGGTTACTTTTTAAAAATGATTTTCAATTAATATATAGGAGATAATTTTAGTTAAAAATTTTTAATATGAAAAATGGTAAACAAAATTCAATTTTCTAAAATCAAAAATAAACTTAATGAATTGGGATAATTTGTATTTTTTTATTGGATTCATATTTTAAAAAACCATAAAACACTAGTAATTATATATATATATATATTTATGTGTAAATAAAAAAACTTAATAAAAATGGGCCACTAAAATTTGGGACCAAAACCAATGCATCATCAAGGCCGGTCATATAGCGCAGGGGCATGTAAGAAAAAACTTGTTATAAAGTCCCAAAAGAGATAAATAGTAGTGGGCCTTCTTTCGTATCCGCTAAGGAAATTAAGTCCAGGCCCAGAACTCGGAGTCGGAGAGAGAGAGAGTCGCATACTGCGTCGAGGAGAGAGAGAGAGAGAGAGAGGACGAAAAAAACATCACCGAGAACCAATTTTTTTTTTCTACCGAGAGGGAAACCAAAATTGAAAAGAAGAAATTGCTGAATTAGGAATCTCGCAAGAAGAAATTCATGGATTCTATATCGTCAGAGCCTTCTTGTTTCCCTGAGAAATTGGCTTCGTCTATGATTTGAAGCTTAAAAAGGGGTTTGTTTGTTCATTCTTTGGAAACCCTAGGAGAGAGAGACTAATTTTGGATTGGTGATATCCCGAGCTCTGTGCCCTAGCGTTGCGTTCGCTTTGTTTCCACGTACAATTCAGGTACTTTAGCTTGTTCCTCTTCTCCTCCACTCTTCTTCTGAAACCCTAGAGTCCAGCTTTGCTGGAGTTTCTAAGAATTTTTGAACATTTCGGATGTTTTTGTTGTTGTCCGTTGAGTCTGTGGAGGTTTGATAGTGCCAGTGCTTCTCATTCTGATAATCTGATCATGAATGTGAATTGACTCGTCTCTGTAATTCTTAGTTCCTGCTCGTTTAGCTTCTAAATGTGAAAGTGTTCGTGGGCACGCCGTTAAGTAGCTTAGCTGATCATTTCAACTTTGATTCTTCTTCGTAATCGTTGTTAGTGTCACATAATTGTTTCCTTCTTAAGCTTCGGGATCCTCTCATTCTTTAGGCAACATTTCATTGCTTTGGTTTCTTAGAGTTTTATCTACCACTTAGCCTGACTTTTAAATTTACCCGTATCTGATCTTCTAGAGGATCAGAATGTGAGCAGAATTGGATAGTGAATATACTAGAATCTGGGGAGTTATCTTCACTTTGATGTATCTTTGGATAGTGGCTCGAGCTGAGCTGTTATTACCTTGACATTTTATGAGCTGTTGTATCTTGAATCTGCTAAGCTACTTTAGAATCTGTAATTGGAGTCTGTTCATTAGGAATGCTGAATATACTGAAACCTTATTGTTATATTTTTCAGTTAAGTCAGAATTAGAATTGATGGGACATCCAAGGTGGTGATGCATGGAAGTGTTTCAGGATATCTTCTAGTAAATGCGGAGGTTGATTCCATGGGAGGAGTTATCGATAGTGGGGGTGGTATTGGTGTCAAAACATCTCCACGCCGAACAGAAATTGAGAAGGCTCAAGCGGAGCTAAGGTATTTGATTTCTGATTGAGACTTTTTCATCTTCTGCGATGTGTTTAAGCACTCTACATATTCTACTGCTGTCGATCACTTCCAATGGGTAAAAAAAGGTGCTTGTTTCAACAGGCAAGAGTATGATGTCCGTGAGGAAAGGAGGAGAGAACTGGAGTTTCTGGAGAAAGTATGGACACCTAATTGCTATTTCGCTGTTCTCTTTCCTTTGGAAAAACTTATTATGACAGGCCTTTACTCTTCTATCTGCTTCAGGGCGGTAACCCCTTGGATTTCAAGTTTGGTCTTGCAACTTCACATAGCGTCCAATCTACGTCACTCACAGATCAGCAAGCAGAGCATTTTGTAAACAGGTACGTTCGTGTTTGTTGTAGTTTTTCTTTATAATTTCCATGGATGTACTCATCATAGTTTATCTATAACCCCCACAGTGAAGTGAAGGATAGTTTTGCTCTGACTGCCTCACCACATGGAGACTCTGTGGAGAGTAGTGGTAGACCTGGAGTTCCTACAATTTCTGAACCCAATACAGCGGATAATCTTTTACTGTTTGATTCTGAAAATAAGTCGGTTGAAGGAGAGATAAATTTTAGATATCCTAATAGGCAAAACAGAACTTCTGAGCCGGAACGGTCTTCAAAAGCGAACACCAATCAGAATACTAAAGAATCTGAAGATTCTGCCATCTTTCGCCCGTATGCTCGTAGGAACAGATCAAAGATAAATCGGGATCCAGCACGGTCAAGTTCTACTGATTTAGTTCAGAATCGTGGTGGTCTTGCAACGTCTATCTCTATTCGCAGAGGATCAGTGGATGGAAAGGGTCGCATTTCCGAAGCAACCAATCAGAAGGATAGGCATACAACCTCTGTATCTTGTCCGACATTTGAAAATTCAAACGGTAATATAGTTCCGACAATTGTTGCTCCTAGCAATACTATGAATACTAAGGTGGATGGTATACCTGTTGTACGAGAGAGTATCGCTGGATCCAAGACAGGTCCATTGAAAGATGAAGCAGACATTACACATAGGAAAAGCTCTGCCTATATGCCTTCTGAAGAGACCAGCCTTGCTGGGGAGAAGGCAGAACTTGCTTTGACTATTACAGAGATTGGTTCTCCCAAAGCTGGAACAATAGCTGGTCAGGACAATAGTTCTACACAATTGAATGGCCTAAGAGATTCTACGGGAGAGAAAGAAAGCTCAGCAGATAGAGGAGTTGCAGGGACAAAAAGATTAGAGTCAGAGTCGTCTCATGCTAACAACTTAGAAGTAGATGTAGATACTGAAAGAGATGTTTGTAGAGTGGAAAAACTTGACGCAGATGAAATCTCTATGCAGAAGGCTTCAAGCGTAGAGGGGTTGCTGAATCAAACAGTTGGTGAACTGACGAAAACTGAGATTGAGGATGAGACAGGTCGGTCTACCACCATTAGTAATGAGTGCAGTCCTGCGCGTGAAATGCAGATGAATTCGGTTAAAATTGAAAATCAAAGTTACAGAAGTTCAGCTGAGCTGCAAAATGAAGAGATGTATTCAGAAGATGAGAAAAAGCTTAGAGATGGGGTGGTTGTACCTGAAAATGACAGGAAAGTTAGTAGTGTTTTAGATGACAATCCTAGCAGCTCTTTGCACCCTGGAATCACTGAGGCATCTGTAGACGAAAGTTCTTGCATGGTTGGTGATAATGTATTGTCAGAAACTGACATTGAAGCATTAAAACATCAGCCTGGCTCAGATAGTGGCTCAAAAGTGTTAGATACTGTGAAGGAGGACTCTGTCCTTGAAGAGGCACGGATTATACAGGTTTTCTTTTTCAACTTGGCTTGGTGATCTTAAGCTGTCAAGCGAGTAAGTTATAAATAAACAAAATAACAATCTTCTTATGTATGACATATTATACTAACAGGCAAAAAGAAAAAGAATTGCCGAGTTATCTTGTGGTACCGCACCAGTGGAGGTTCGTGAGAAATCTCAGTGGGATTTTGTCCTCGAAGAAATGGCATGGCTGGCAAATGATTTTGCGCAGGTCTGGTCTAGTTGAATTAGATTTCTAATATATATTCTATATATATGCATGCTGCATTTTGTGGATTGTTATTTTGTTTATTTCCAATAGCATCTGGACATTCCTCGGCATCAACGAGCTTATCCAGTTTTATGTTGCTGCAACATTTTTCATTGAGTGTTCAGATTGCATGTTGTTTATTCTCTCACCTTTTTCTTTACGTCTTCTAGGAGCGCCTTTGGAAGATGACTGCTGCCGCACAAGTTTGCCATCGAGTTGCTTTGACTTCTCAGTTGAGATTTGAGGAACAACTTCAGCAAAGAAAGCTGAAAAATATAGCTTCAATCCTATCTAATGCTATCTTACAATTCTGGAGTTCTGTGGAGGCTTCTGGGGAGCTGGAGGAGACAAGCTTGGGAATTGATAAGGTATTTGACTGACAGACCTCTTTCATGGTTTTTGATGACAATGGTGATCATATGGTTCTTTCTTTTTCCATTTTATCTGAATCCTGCATATTACACACATTAAATTAAAGTATTGACAACACTCAATCCTGGAACCATATTGTCAAATTTGTAACTGGACTGTAAGTGACACACGATTGTATTGATAAGCCGGATCTTTCTTATTTGATTTAATTGTCTTCCGTTTTACCTCCAGGATTCTTTGGTTATGTTGCTCTCTATGTTACGATTTTTTGTAAACTTAATGACGTCTTGCTAAGTAATACTGTGGCCGTATGCAGGAGACTTTCCAAGAATCTAATTGTGAGAATGGCAGAAAATGTTTAGCTGCGGGTGTCAGGGAGTATGCAAGTAGCTTTTTGAAGTATAACAGCTCTTCTGTCCCCTATCATTCAGCTGCACCATCAGTACCCAAGTATACATGCGACTCAGAAATATTGGATGTATCACTGGTTGATCAGCTAACAGAAGTACGGATTTCTTTAAAAATATTCGGCAGCCTCAGTTGAACACTGTTGCTGTGGGTAGCTCTACTATAATGCTGATCAAGCTTTGTTACTGTGCAGGAAAGCCTGTTCTATTCAGTTCCATCTGGTGCTATGAAGGTGTACCACAAGTACATTGAGACCCATATCGCACGCTGTGAGGTATGTGGGATTTTCTGTGCTAGGATCTCTCATATTGTAACCTTGATTACATATATTTCCTGAGAATTTATATTTGTTATCAGAAGATACTTAACAGTATCTCTTTGTTCCCAGAAGTCTGGTAATAGCATGCTGGAGGAGGTTGATACATCAGCCTATGATGCTGCTGGAGGTATGCACAATTCTTGGTTGTGCGAGCTCTGTGTGCTGGTTAAGTATTTGCTAATCGTTTATCTTCATTGTAGATATAGTATACGATGTCACTGCGTTCGATGAGGATGAAGGAGAAACAAGTACCTATTATCTTCCTGGGGATTTCGAATGTAGCAAGTCATTTAATCTAAGCCACAAAAAAAGGAAGAGTTTGATGAAGTCTCATTCTGCCCGGTCATATGATCTTGGATCTGATTTGCCATACGCCAACTACACAGTTGGGTCTAACTCATCGAATTTGATGGCGAAAAGGCCTGCCAGTAATATCACTGCCGGCTCAGTTCCGACAAGGCGCGTGCGCACTGCTTCGAGGCAGAGGATTGTGAGTCCTTTTGGCGGTGCAACTTCTGGGGGTTTACCAGTGCCTTCAAAGACAGACGGGTCTAGTGGAGATACTAGTTCTTTTCAGGATGAGCAAAGTAGTTTGCATGGTGGTAATTTTGTTCAAAAAGGAACAGAGGTTGAATCAAGTGGTAATTTTGAGAAGCAGTTACCTTATGACATGGCTGAAACGTCAGAAAAACCTAAAAAGAAGAAGAAGACTCATACGGTAGTTTGCAATATGAGCATATCTCTCTTACTTGCTGTTTTTCTGAAACATAGTTGCTATTGGTTTTAGTTAACATTGCATTATAATTTGCAATTTCATTTGTTGCAGGGATCTGCATATGACCAAACCTGGCATCTCGATTCGTCAGTCCATGCTGAACAGGTGATTTCATCACTAAAATCATAAGAATCAACTTGAACAATTGTTTTTTTGTTTACGTTTTCATCTTGTAGAAGTGGCTGTTTACAGTTTAATATTTCTTGAAATGACAAGTTTAAGTTATAATAGATGGTAAATATGTACCCTGTACTGGTAATTGACGTTTCAGAAATGATTCTAATTGGTCCTTAATTTGGCAGAAAGAGCACTGGAAGAAGCGACCAGAGAATCATTTCGATATGAATGGTATTATTTGCAAATTCGTTTTTACTCTCTGGTGCATTGTTGTTCTTCAGCGGTTGGGGGAAGCCTCAGTCTCTCTTTATAAATCAAAACAAAGTTTGTGACTAGGAGTCATTCGAGAGGATATTATGCTTTGAGCAGCATCTTTTGCGTACATCTTACTTAACCACCAATTATAAAACTAAAGTTATGGTATTCTGGAGTTATTAAAACCTAGAGTAGAAGGCTGTAATATGGATTAATTCAACTGTTTCTGGAAGCGAACATGAGTTTGTTGCTTTGACATCTTCCCTTTTTATGTCACCATGCTGCTGCATTTATAGTTCTGTGACATATTTTAATTGTATTTTACAAGGTCTGTATGGTCCTCACAGTGCAAAGAAGCAAAAGACCACCAAGCAATTGGTCGAGAATAATTTTGATAGTGCTAATGCTCTCGCTGGATCAGTTCCTTCTCCGGCAGCTTCCCAGATGAGCAATATGTCCAACCCCAACAAATCTATCAAATTTTTTGGGGGTCGTGATAGGGCCAGAAAATTAAAAGGCCTGAAGGTAGATGCTGTTATATGCTGTTGAAGGTTTACTTACTCCTCCATTCGCTTTATTTTGAGATATTTGTTTTAAACTAGAAATTTAACTTACGCAGATTTCTCCTGGGCAACATGGTTCTGAAAATCGGTGGTCGCTATTTGAGGATCAGGTTTTTTATTCGTTTTCTTCATTAACATCGCTATGCTGTTGGTTGCTCTCTGGGTATCTAATTTTATTTCCACCATTTAGGCGCTTGTTGTCCTGGTGCATGACATGGGGCCTAACTGGGAGCTCATTAGTGATGCAATGAACAGCACTCTTAAGATTAAGGTAATTGCCTGTTGTTTTGGGAAATCTTGGGATTCTTTCTTTGGTACAGTTCCAACCAAGTGGCAGAGCTATACTTCAATAGATTATACTGTTTGTTTCTATTCTAGTGAACTGTTGTGTGCTGAATACTGTTGTCCAGGATATATCTTTCTCGTATCAGTGAACAATTATTGTATTTGTTGTTGGCTATTGTTTGATCCACAATTTTTTTGCTTTTCCAGTGTATATATCGTAATCCGAGTGAGTGCAAGGAGCGGCATAAGATTCTGATGGATAAGACTGCTGGTGATGGGGCTGATAGTGCTGAAGACTCAGGGACTTCTCAGTCTTATCCATCAACTTTGCCTGGCATCCCAAAGGTTTTTCTTTAGCTCTAAGACGCTGAAGAAAGTGTCCTCTATGTTTAGACTAACTTAAATTCCCCGGATATGTTTGTTATATCCAGGGAAGTGCGAGACAGTTGTTTCAGCGACTGCAAGGGCCAATGGAGGAAGATACCCTGAAGTCCCATTTTGAGAAGATTTGTTTGATTGGGAAGAACTTACATTATAGAAAGGCACAGGTTGGTTCATTTAGTGCTTTGTTACTGTTTCCAAGCCTTTAACCTAAAACTAGTCTGCATTTTTTTCCCGTCGTTCTTTAAACCTTGCGTGGCAATAGTGATAGTTCCGTGTGTGTAGCATAAAGGACTCACAAACTATGATCAGGATATAGAATTTGAGAAGATAGGCTTCCTATTCTTGTTATAGTCGGAGTTTTTTACTGCGATAGGCACATCTCAGTCACTCCTATATGGCATAACGGTTCTGCATGATTCAAAGCATAGCTGCAAATATTGGTTAACATTTGCTGAAGTCATTAACACCCATGACATTGTAGTTTGAAGTTCAAATCTTCGAGTCCCTAATTCTGTTTTCTTGTTGCTGCTTCTGTATGTTTGCTACTGTTTGATCTATCATCAAGAATGATGGTCGGGATCCCAAGCAGATAGTACCAGTTCACAATTCACAAGTCATGGCTCTTTCTCAAGTATTCCCGAATAATCTGAATGGAGGGGTTCTAACGTAAGTTTCGGTGTTTCCATAGATTCACATAGTTCCTGATTACCACGTTCGCAGTTCTAATATTTTGCTACTCTCCGGATGAAGGCCCCTTGATGTCTGTGATGCGTCAACTTCAGGTCAAGATGTATTTTCACTTGAAAATCCAGGTGTTCCAATGTTGAATCAGGGGACGCCAGTGCTCCCTACTTCTGGAGCAATTCCATCCACTCCTGGATCATCTGGTGTGGGTCTCGGCAACAATTTACCAACCACACCTGGTCTACACAGTACTTCTGTCAGGTAGAGCTGTAATGAATGTTTTGTTTTTGGTGAATGCACATGTTTGTGCATCGCCTACTCAATGTACTCGAAGGTGATTACTTCTTTTGGTCAGTGATATTATTTTTTTTTCCTTTTAGGGACGGTAGATTTAACGTTCCTAGAGGGTCTTTGCCACTTGATGAACAACACCGCCTCCAACAATATAATCAGATGTCATCCGGCAGAAACATGCAGCAGCCTTCATTATCAAGTCCTGGAGCTGTCTCAGGATCTGGACATCGCATGGTTCCTGGTGGAAATGCGATGGGTGTAAGTGGAGTGAACAGGGGCACACCCATGTCAAGGCCTGGTTTTCAAGGGATGAGCTCACCAGCAATGCCAAGTACTGGTGGCATGCTTTCCTCTGGTGTGGTGGGAATTCCAAACACTGGAAATATTCACCCTGGAGGAGGAGCTTCTCCAGGAAACTCCATGCTCAGGCCTCCTCGTGAAGCTGTGCAGCATATGATGCGGGTAAGCTATTTAGCGTAATTACCTGTTTTCTTACTTCACTACCCGGTCTAATTTTCTAGGTCCTTGTTTAAGTTTGTAGACGTGTAGACATTCAGCTCTTCTGAATTTTGTCTATAGCTGGACGATTGACATTTTAGATCATCACTATGAACAATCCAGTGAAGATACAAAACTGATATGCGTTAGTTTCAGATGCAGGCTGCTCAAGGGAACAGTCAAGGGATCCCAGCTTTCAGTGGTTTGAGTTCTGGATTTACCAACCCGACAACTCCTCATCTCCAGAGCCCAAGTCATGCCACTGGGGCACAACAGGACGCATTTGCTATTCGTCAAAGGCAAATGCACCAGAGGTATGTGCAGCAGCAACAACAGCTACAGCAGCAGCAGTTTCCAGCATCTGGTACTATACTGCCACATGGACAACAACAACAACCACCTCAGGGTACTTCTGTTTCTTCTTCTCCGCAAAACAGTCCCCAGACTCAACCACCCGTTTCGTCCCAGCCATTACCAATGCCCCCAGTGTCGACCTCTCCTAATATCAATGCTATGGCACAACAGAACCCTCAAAAACCTCAGTTGCCGCTTCATGGTCTGGGTAGGAATCCTCAGTCTAGTGCTTCTGGAGTGAACAATCAAGCTGGAAAACAACGGCAGCGACAACTCCAGCAGCAGTTGCAGCAGTCTGGAAGACAACATCCACACCAGAAGCAGCCTACACAAGGTCAACAGCAGAATAAACAATCGAAAGGGATGGGTAGAGGGAACATGATTCATCAGAACCTCACTGTTAATTTGTCACACCTGAATGGTCTCACCATGGCCTCGGGAAATCAGGCTACCGAAAAAGGAGAGGCAGTGGTTCCAGTTAGGCTTGATCAGCAGTCTAACGCAGGCGCCACCACGACCACGCCGCATCCGCAGTCTAAACCATTTGTTCCACCACAGTCTTCAAATCATTCACAGCAACCGCCAAAACCATTTCCTGCTGCTTCATCTCCGTCCCAACAACAACAGATACAGTTGCCTTCAGGCAATAATAACATCCAAGGCCAGAGCTCACCTTCGGCCTCTAGTCCATCAATTACACCAGCAGTTGCACCTTCCAACCATCAGCATTTATTGATACACCAAAAGCAGCGCAACCAAATGCAGTCAACAGCTCAGCGAGTTGTTCATCATAATCAGTTAGGGAACTCTGAGTTACCGAGGAAGTCCCCAGCTGAACGTATGCCACGTGTTCCGCAGTCTGTAACCAATACCACCCAAACAGCTACTATGAGTATAACACCTCAAGCGAGCAATGATCCAAAGAACATAAAAGCGGTTGTTTCTACTGCTGCGCCGCCTCCAAATGCACCGGAACCTCCATCTTGTGCCGCCTCTGTGCAAACCGCTGCTCCTAAAGTATTAAACAATCCTAGTACAGATTCAGCTGGGACTGATCCAGTAACAACAACACCGAACCAAGGACTAGCTCAGAAGCATTTGCCCGGTGGGTTGCCTAGTCAGGGCGTGATACAGAGACAACAATCACTACCATTAGTAGAAAACAGACCGAAGTTGCCGGAGCAGCAGCTGACTGTACAAAACCAGAGACATCTTGCTTCTGATCAGCAGCCTCAATTAGAAGAAGCAAAAGAGCTATCATCTCCCAAGCCGCCTCCTGATACAAAAGTGAAATGAGAGACACGGTAGATGAAACCCTAGAACCTCAAGAGTAGCTTTAGATCTCTACAACAAAGGGTTATCGCTTGCCCTTTAACGACAACACTGTACAGGTAACCCATAACTGGTTCGTACAGAGTCGGTGTCTCCTCACTTTGTGGCAATTTAACATCATCAAGTGGGTGTGGTCTTTGGATTTGGCTGAGATGCTGCATAACATTTAACAGTGGTTTGGGTCCAGCCAAAGTAAAACTGTAAACTCTGCAGATTGAGTTTGCAGATTTGATGAAGGCAGAGGAAGAAGAAAGTGGATCGGATAAAAATTCATCATGGTCTTTTTTTTGCCTCTTGAAACAGAAAGAAGAGAGAAGGTATAAATCATAAAGTATATTATTTTACCACTGCATCATCATCATAGAGAAAGTCCCTTTCTTCCCATCATTTGGTTTGGGAGAGTGGAAACAGTTTATATAATGTTTTGTATAGAACTATGCTATTCCACCACAACTTTTGATTTGTTTTGTTTCCTCTTGTGGCATATATTTAGGGTCTTAGTAGCCTTTTTTTCTTTGTTTGTTTGTTCTCTTCTAACTTCTTCTCTAGTGGGTTTAGGTTAGTTTAATTTGAATGTATTATTTGTTCTCTCTTTTCTTAATGGTTAAAATGAGAAAACCAAAAAAAGAAAGATCATATGCTTCCCATAACAGTATGTATCAGTACCCGATTTGAAACTTCAATAGCTGTGTCTGTTGTTATAATGCTTGGGGAAATTAGAAACATGATTGAATTTTACTTTTAGTTTGGACTTGCCCTTTATAAAACTAGTGAACCTAGAGCCGTAACAATATGGGCCCATCATAATTAACCATGCATTGTGTTTTGTCTGTTAACTCTGTTTCTCGTCCCACGTCGGATCAGTTCAGTGGCTTTTGTTCTGTTGTAATCGAATCCTTTCTCTTTCTTCAAATGTTTGTATATACCCCAGAGGCGGCAAAAAAAAAAAAATCTGTAATCTTTTTTCTTTGTCACCGGAGAAGAACTGTAATCACTTGGGAAAAAGGAAAAATCTGTTATCTTTTTTCTCTTATGTACCAAGTCTAGTTCAACTTAATTAGTCCATTTAACTACAGTACGTCATTTTCTTGGTTTGTCCTCTTCTTTGAACAAAATTAGTCAAAGATGATTCAGGTAGTTCGTGGAAGAACCGTGACTTGCTTGGATTTGAAGTTCACATTTTGATAGAAAAGTTTTCTTTTGGTAGAAAATGTTTAGTTTGGTGAGATTTGTAGACTGCATACATAAAAAAAAAGTTCTTCGACATTAGATTAATGAGCATACATATATTTCTAGAATTGTTAACTATGTTACAAATCTGAAATGAAGAAGGAACAACAACAAAGTTAAGGCATATTTTTTTTTAAAAATTTTCATTGGTATTTTTGAAATTGTTAGAAGGAATCAAAGGCAGTGTTAAGAAACTGAAGAAGCTGAGATTGAGAACTCTTGATCAAATGTAACCGTTGGGTCTCCATCTCCTTACGAATCCTCACCGTCTCTTTCGCAAACTCAATCTTCTTCTTCTCCATCACCATTGCTCTCTCAGCGAAAACCCTAATCTCAGCAGCAACAGCTCTCGCTCCTTTTCTCCTCCTCTCGCTTCCTCCTTCATCACATCTCCTCTTCCTCTTGGATGATCTCTCCTTTTGTCCCCATTGCAACAATCCTCCACCAACTCCGGCGAATCTATTAACCGTACCTGGTCTTCTAAGTATGTAATTGATACTCCTCGATTTGTTCTGTCTCTCTTCTTCTTCGTATTTCTCTTCTTCTTCGTCGTCGTCATCTTCATCTTCGTAGTGATTACTCGAATTCGGAGGAAGACGAGTGAGAGGACGAGCTGAGATTGGGGCGGGATTGCTATCTAATTCCTCCATCTGACAATAGAATGGCCAAATCGAGATCGGTCCCATGCTCTGCCTCTCCGATCGGAATCTTTTGCGCATCTTCTCGATCTTGTGCCGACACTGTGTTGATGACCGGTCAACGCCGGAGCGAGCTGAGACGGCGACGGCGATCTCTTCCCAGTGGTTTGATTTCAGAGGACCTCGACCAATGGCGTACCATTTCTCCTTGTAGGATTCGATCAGGAGGAGAGTCTCCTCGTGAGTCCATAGCACCGGCTGGGTTTTTCTGGCGACGGCGGAGGTCGATGCAGCTAAGGCAACGATGGTGGTATTCGGTGCGGAAGGGTTTTGAGTCGTGGTGGAGATTGAGGGTGGTTGATTTTGCTGCGGCGGAGTAGCGGCGAAATTAGGGTTTGAATCGGAGGGAGGAGAAGATGTCGGCGAAGGCGTCGCCATGGTTTTTAACCTTTTTAAGTGTCAATGGGAAGAAGGAAACAAAGGCTTCAGCTTCTGCGAGTTACTGAAAAATTAACAAAGGAATCATTGGGCTTTTGATTCCACATTAACTCTGGGCCTAATAATTGGACTTTTGACTTTTCTGTCCAAATCAAAAGCTACTTCATTGTCTTTCAAAGCCCTAAACCTAGTTAGAGACTGTTCCGTAGTGTTCAATCCAAGTCTGAAACAACCAACAAACAGACACCATACCATCGTCTTCATCAAAGGTTGAAACTCAGTATGATTAGAGGAGAAAACTCATCAGATTCCATCTCGAATGATCTGATTATGGAGATACTTTCGAGATTGCCTGCCAAGTCAGCAAAGAGGTTTTCTTGCATATCAAAGCTATGGGAATCCATGCTTAACCGTCCATATTTCACCGAGTTTTTCTTCACCACGTCCTCGACTCGGCCGCATATCTTATTCTCGTCGCCTCAGCCTCATAATCCATATGAGAAGTTGTCGTCTCTTGTAATAGTCGCAGTTTCTCATATGAAGTTACCTGAAAGCAAATAGCTAGCATTTCATGGACTTATCTCTGGTGTGGAGATGGGGATATGGGGATATGTAACCCTAGTAGTGGACATTACTCTATAATAGCTAAAAGGAAAACTTTTAGACTTACAACATGCTTTTTAGGGTTTGATCCTATTGCCAAACAGTTCAAAGTATTACTCACTTGGTGCTTTCCTTATAGGGGTGAAAAAGAGGATCATATATTGACACTAGGAACTGGAGATGATTCATGGAGGAAGATCTATTGTCCCTTAAACCATAATCCTTTGCGTAAAGGGATATGCATCAATGGAGTTTTGTATCATGTAAGTAATCATCGTGAAAAAGTTCTTATGATAGTTTGCTTTGATGTTAGGTCTGAGAAATTCAAGTTTATATACATAGATTTCATTCGTGATAAGCAGGAAACTACACTGATAAACTATAAGGGTAAACTAGGCGTGATTATTTTGGAGTATACATTTGATAATAAACCTTGGTATTGGGATTATCAGTTTTAGAACTTCAGTATTAGAAATCGTCTGTCTAAGTTGTGTATGTGGGTTATAAAGGATGTGGAGAAACTAGAACCTGAATGGTCGGAATATGCCTACACTTTTTGTCAGAATCAACTCGTTGGCTGCTGCTACCAGGTTTCTGTTGTTGGAGTGACTAGTGCCACAAGTGAAATTGTTTTATCTGTGGATGATGCATCTAACCCATTTTGCATTTTCTACCTCGATCCCGAAAGGAATGCTGTAGCATCCGTATCCGAGAGAATTCAGAATGATCGAGCGGGACAGGGCGTTGTCCGAAGAATGATTGAGCCAATGGTCGGATATTGGCTGGGAAATGGAGGGTCAGACTATGGTTGGGGGATGACAGGGAAATAATCAGACGGATGGCTGGGATAGCCGAGCCGGATAGACCATATCCGAGAGAAAATGGTCCAGTCCGTGAGAAAATGAGTTTTATCCGAGTAAAGTGGGGTTAGTCCGAGTGAGAGTGGACTATATCCAGGGGAAAAAGGAAAATCTCCGAGAGAAAGTAAAAATTAGCCGAGGTGGGACAAGTGGTCCGAGAGAAAAGGAAATATCCGGATGAAAAATAGAAATAACTCGGATAAGGGCGGTTTATCCGAGAGGGAAGGGAATTGGGCCATGGGCCAAGTGAGTAGGTTAGCTATTTTGTTGGTTTATCGCGCGGATGGTCAGTCGGTACAAGGAATAGCCGAGAGAATCGAATCGGACCGGGATAAATCCTACTGGAACCAGGAAAACGTCGGTTAAGTCCGAGTTACCTAGGGTTTTGCGAGTATACGGACTTTTGAGACTTAACTCGAGGGTGTTGCGTTTATTTGAGCTAAATAAAGGAAAGAGAGAGTTTAGTCGAGAGAAAACCTTAAAGAAAACAGTTTATCCCGAGGACATCCGAGAGAGATAGAGCTATCGCCGAGCAGATCCGACCATCGCCGAGATAAATCGGTAAGCGACTGAATAATTCCCTAAGTGTTGAGTTTTCATCGGATAACCTCGAGCTAATAGCCTTGTTTTGTGGGGTTTCCGAGGGTAAACAGAGTTTGGCTCGGAGAAAAGTGAACGGATCGAGAGATGGCCGAAGGGAAAGGGGTCGGATCGTACGAACAGCCGAGAGATTCCTAAGGTGATCGGATATCTTCGATTTGCTGCAGATTTCATCGGGATTTCTTCTGACCAATCTGTTTCCAACCTTTTTTAAGGTGAGTGCGTGACTGTGGTTGGTGTCTAGGGTCGTCAGATTGCTAGGGTTAAATATTTTACATGTTTGATTATGTGATTTTCATGTTGTGTGTTTAGAACTGATAAACGAATGCATGTTATGGTATTGTGAGGTGTTTACCGTGGCATAGATGATATCTAGCTAACCTCAGGGTAGTCCGGATCATGTACTAGCTTAGGGGATGTGGAATTCTCGCTGAAGTAGACATGGGGCTTAAAAAAGGATTGATCTTGGTTGGTTAGGTTAGATGATCATAGCCGTTTGATATATTGTTATGTCTATTGCGAATTGATTGTGTGGGATGTTGAATCTGAAAGTATGAATGCGTGATTGGTACTGACCAGGTGTTACAGGATGACCGTACTCACTAAGTATTTATGAAATACTTATGCCTCTCTTCTTGAGTGTGCAGGTGCTAATCAGTAAGGGAGCGAGACCAGGCGGTAGTGATGGATATGGATGGATCGGGGATTGGGTGTTTTATGATTTAAGACTTGTTTTTAGGGTCTTATGGCTTTGGTGTTTGATCATTAGGTTGCTAGATGACCGGTTGTAATCGTTAGCGAACCTTGTGTTTTGATTTATGTTGAACCCCGAATCTTGTTAAATGATTTTATGCAAGTTAAATGAATGAAATGAGTTGTTTTTATAATTCGCTGTGTATTGTTAAGTTTAAAGAAAAAGTTAAAAATATGGCTAAGTATAGAAAACAGACTTAGAGGATGTAGTGGGACACGACCGCGGTATAGTTTGCCGGGTTGGATTACCACAAGTTGGTATCAGGGCGTTTTAATGTTTCTAGGACTGAATGTTGGTGACTGCTGTTGTTTGGTTGTTTGAGGTTTAAGAGGGTTCGATCCATTCTTCACTGCCAAGGTCTCGCGGCAAGGTTTTGTGTGTTGTGTTGTGAAACACATTTTGAGTTAGCTTCGGCTAACTGGCATGATTGTACTTGCAGATGGTTGATACCAGAAGAACTGTGAGAAACAATGGGAACAACCAGGCTGCTGGGTCTGTGAACTCAGTAAACGGTGATGTTGATGAGAAGGCAAGGGAAGCCGAGAGACAGGCAGCTGTGGTTGCAAATGAGGCGGGTAGAGTGGCAGTC